GTGTAGGTGCTGTGTGTGTGCTACGGGATTTAGCTCTACCCAGGATTTTGGAAGGTAAATTTTGTGCCTCATGTATATGGAGTGTGTGTGTGTATTGTTTTAGTGTGGAATTAGGTGTTTATTGTTTGATCTTAGTTTTTAGCTCAGGAATGAGGTATGTCTGGTGGTGTCTTGTATTTTAACCAGGGGCTGCAATGTGAGGAGCTCAGGATCTGTGTCTTTGTGTGTATAAGTAGGTATATACTTTGAGTGTCCAGATGCTAATGGTCACCTTTTAATTAAAAAAATTGTGAAAAGAAACAATTGGTTTTACCCTTTCAATGAAGCACAAAGCTCTGTGTGTGCACACAACATGTATCCTTCATGAACGAACGAGAGTTCACATAACTAATACTTTTACATGCTATTATGGGTCAGGGCTAATGTTGCCATAGGAACGATAATACTGAAAATTCAGTGGTGTATGATTATAAGCTTAGACTTATTTTTTGCTTTGTTTTTATTTTCAGAAGTATTAATGAAAACTGTATTTTTATTTTACGTGAAAAAAAAAAAATCATTATGCCAAAGAAAAATTATCATGTAAATCTGTTTTCTCGGTATGCAAATGTAACTGTTCGGGGAGGAAAAAAGAAAGGTGGTGTATGTACAAGCTGTATGTGGGAGTGAAATATGTTCTCCATCTAGTGCTTGGTGTCATGGCGCTATCGATGGATGAATGACTCCAGCACAAGACTTGGTGCTTTTACTGTACTTGTTTATCTAGGATGATTAACCTCCGCTAGCATCAGAAGGGAGAAGGCTGGCCAAACATCCTCTCATAAGGAGCTCACAAGAGGACAGTGGTGATATGTCATCTTGACAGGGGAAAAACTCAGATGACTGATTTACAAAGTATTTGTTTAAAGGTTTCGTTTTTATGTAGGGATCATCCTACTTGTGAGCAGGTGTCATGTGAGTGTATAAGCCAGGCAGCTCTACATCTTACTAGAGCCTTGGCAGTAGTGTTGCAGTGTCTTAATGAACTTACTTTATAACAAAATTCTGAACTGCACTGTGAGAATACTGCGTACCGGCTCTTGCTGGTGTGCGAAACGCTCATTTGCCATTTCCACTAAATGCTAGTTTTTAAATGTTTGGGGGAGAAGGGCACCTCATCATGAGGAAGATTTACTGAATTTTTCTTTTTGTCCTCATGAAGTGACTCTAAGGCTTTTAGCCCTTGCGTAAATGACGGTTTGTGGGTTGTTTCAGTAGGTATCAGTAGTGCCCTCTGACAGAGGTAATAGCTTTACAAGTTAATAGTTATTAACTTGTGGTTGTGGAAGGAGACCCCCAGCCCTGTTTGGGAAGGCAGAGGTCTTTGCAGAAAGGTGGAGATATTGTTACTAGGGTTTGGCCTTGAGCATCAGGAGTGGTCAGCCATGTGAGGATGAGCTTTACAAAAGGAGCTGGGTTTGATGTGTATTGGGTGGACTGCAACAATGATGTTTGCTTTCACTGAAAGAGATGTCACTACTGCTGTGAAGAACCAGTCACTTGCTTTCCTCTGAGGCTCAGGCTTTCTCAGAGAGTGGGGAGGGCTCTCTTGATGACAAGTGCTGTGCTAGAATGCTGGTTTACAGGAATTTTGCATCCATGGAGAAGATAGTTCTTAATCACTAATCTCTTTCTTTTTACCCGTTCTCTCTCCTGAAGCAGTGCCTAGATGCCTTTAAAATTTTGGGCTTGTTATGGTTCTGAAGGACTGTTGACCTATCACTATGCCTATTCCAGCCCTATGTTTTATGCCACAAAATTGATAAAAAAGGGTTCAGAACAGTTGAAGGTGTATGACAATACTTTAAAAACCTAGCAAAAACTGCCGGATGTTGGAATGTGAAGTCCAGGCCCAACAGCTAAAGTGACCTTTCAAAAGCTGTGGGCTTGTGTCTTCTGTAAGACATGCACCAGAACTGGGTAGTTGCTGCATCACTGAAAATTACTTCAATTGGCATTGCCTTGTGTGTGCCCAAATCTGTGCAGAGAGTGGGACACCTACCGAGGAAATGTCAAATGGCTGGGGAGAACAGCATTTAATTCCTGACTCTTCTCATGACTTCTCATTACTTGAACAAGTCAAATTATAAAACAAGTCAGCCTATAAAATATGGAGAAGTATCTGACTCAGAAGGTGAATTAAATTTTTCTCTATAGGTATCTAGACTAATTTAACCAAGTGATACTACTGTAGTATCTCTAGTGTACTAGAGAATCTGGTATACAGTACTACTGATGCTGTAGTAGATCTAGTAGAGAAGTGAACTTTAAAGCAAGTTTGTCTTCAAAAACAACTATTCCAATCTTCTTTAATGTTGTTCTTCCCATGTGATCGTATGGCTTTGGTGGCCAGGGATTGTTCACTGCTGACGTAATTGATTTTCCACAATGGCAAGTTAACTTTTCTCAGTTTGCTTTGATCTGAAGGTACTTATAGTAATTTAGAACCATTTAGAAATTTATAAATTGTTCTTCAGTAGATAAACTCCAGCCTTCTTTCCAGGAAAATAGGGCATATATATGTGCCAGTTGTTGCTGTGTAATGTTTGTTGTGAAAACATGATAGGTATGTAGCTTCGTTGCAAAAAAAAAAAAAGCTTAGACTTTTTGTCCCCTACCACTTCTAAGGAAGAGTGGGAAGTCTCATGTGCTGATTTAATCCAAGGTTTCATATTAGTGCTGGGATTCTGGTCTAAGATGTTTTAAAGTGAGAGGAGATTGAAGCATTTTGGGACAGAAGCAATGCCTGAACTTGTCAAACAAATGCATGGAAGGGAATGAGTTGGGATGGATGTCAGTCTGGAGCCTACCAGCATGCTCATAAAATTGTTGATGCTTATCTCTCCATCATCTTGAGGTTTGATTCCAAAAGAAACAGGGCTTGTGCAACTGCACTGGTGGGTGGTGCTGTTTTCCCTCCCTGGTAGCAATTTGGCTTTTTGGCTAATTTCAGTAAAACTCAATGCAGAAATAGAGGATTTGGGTGTTTGCAACCAACAAGAACTTAGTATGTTCAGGTTGTGTAAGAGAGAGAGATGCCTCAGACCCCTTTCCCAGATGGGATTTCCATGGAGAGAGACTTCAGTGAAATGCCGTTTAGGCATTGGAAATCTATGCAGAAACTAAAACTGGAGACAGATCCATAGGGATGAAAGTTTCACCAGTCCTGCTGCTCACTGCCCTTACTGTTTTGTAAACACGGCTTTCTGTGTAATAAAAGGCTCTTCAAAGTCCATGGAGTAAAAGTTAAATGTCAGCTTTGAAATAGCCTCAGCAAATTCTAATTCAGCTTTCTTTTGCCATATGCTCTAAGAGATTCCTCTGTTATGGGAACAATTACACTCCTGCTCTGTTCCCAGAGGACCTGTGTCTCATTTGGTGAACAGAAGTATTTAATGAGCAGTGATCAGTTATTCAATATTTCGCTTTCCTTGTTTAGTCAGTGGTGTTGCCTCGGGCCTTATTTATTACCAGACCTTATTAAACACTGCTCCAAAGACACAAATTACTTGTTTTCTCATAAGCTCTTTACTGTCTAACTGGAGTATTTCAAGGGTGCTTGTTCAGCCCCTGGGGCATGAGGGGCATCTTCTCCTCAGTACCCATATAACATTTCTTACCTGCAAAGCTGTTGCTCGACTTCAACAGCTGCTTGAGGCCCAGACTGTAAATGGAACACCCAGGAGATGAGAAGTACTTGTCACTGGCTACCCTGAAAATCTAGGGGGTTGGCCTAGCATCGTCCTCTACCTCTGTGGCAGAGGTAAAGCATTGCTGAGGGTAGTGTTTGGTAAACTGGCAGTAACCACCCACAAATGTGCATGAACAGAAAGGCTGGATTAAGTTGAATATTTAGAGGCCTTGCTCCAAAGTATATGGTTATTGGAGCTTTTGAAAGAAAATGTTGGTGGGTTCTTTAATGAGATGGGAACCTCCCTCACCCTAGTGTGTGTAAGTTAAATTTTGTGTTTAAACAAAATCCCTTAGTAAACACTCGTCCAAGATTAAGCCTGGTTTTATAAACTCAGCCACTCAATGCATGGTTCAGTGATATCAATATATCATACTACTGATAATCTGAATAACAGACCGTCTGCAGTGAAACTCGACATGTCTTTCTTGGGCAAACGTGTTAATTTTATACCACTAGCTTACCAGTGTGTGCTGTACGTAGCTTGGTTACTTCTACTGTTTCTTGGATCTTTAATTCTATCTACTCTGTTCTGTTTGTGAATGGAAGATCTACCCTCCACAATTCTGACAGTTTTGAGTTGCGCTCCCTCTGCAAAGAGGAGGGGAACAGCAGGTCCGGCTGACTTGCAAGCTTGGTCTCACCTTGATTAGAAAGAGGGGAGGGTATGACAGACCACAGTGTCAGTGTGCATTTGGGCAATATCTCGCTGATAACTGGGGGCTCCACTTTGCCTAAAAGCACAAAAGAACTTGAAACACTATTAAATGTCTTCCAACACCTTTGCATCTATGGAGAGTTTAACAGACACATTTAATTGCTTTTAATTTCCTGGTTAACTTTTAAACCTGCTTACAGTGTGACTGGTTGGTAGGTTGCATGGTGCTGCCATAGTCTGCTAAGTGGTGTTTCAGGTGCCATTGACTGGCTTTGAATGCTTTCTTTCCTGCGGAGAATGAACCAGGAGATGTTGTCTTTTTTTTTTTTCTTTTTTTTTTTCTTTTCCTGTTGTAGCTATGTTATTGCAAAAGCTCAAGCCAAATAGCTGTGCTGGCAAAACCCTAATGAAGGTGCTGTGATAGCAGCTAAAAAGTTTTCCCTCTGGTGCAGCTTTAATTCTATTTGGGAAACTGCTTTAAATTAAATCAGGCAAAAGAAGGCTTTTGAGTGTAAAAGCTCTGTCTCCTGTGAGGTTTTGCTGATAGAGTTGCACCAGCAAAACCTTTAAAGTGCATAGAAGCCCAGAGCAAGCAAGAACTAACTTGTAGTCCTTAATATGGTGACTTAAAAAAAAAAAAATTGTGTAACCAAAGTCTTGACCAAAGAATTTTGAATGTAACTTTTCATCTTGGAACCAGCTTTTTAGCGTTGTCATGTGATTTAGAAAGACAAGTCTGCATCTGAATGGCTTGTCACTTCATAAGGTCCTGCATATGATTGTGTTTTTTTTCCTCCTCTCTTCTCCTCTTTGCAAATAAACAGAGCAATAGAAAAACTGAATGGGTTTCAGCTTGAAAACTATTCCTTGAAAGTTGCGTACATCCCTGATGAAATGGCAGCTCAGCAACCTCCACAACAACATCCCCAGGGAAGACGTGGATTTGGACAAAGGGGTCCTCCACGGCAAGGGTCACCTGGCGCAACCACAAGGCAGAAACCACAGTCGGATGTTCCTCTACGGATGCTGGTTCCTACACAGTTCGTAGGAGCCATTATCGGGAAAGAGGGAGCGACAATCAGAAACATTACAAAACAGACACAGTCCAAGTAAGTTACTTTACAAAATGGTAATTGTAAACTTTAATATGATGTTCTGTCTCCCAGCCTACCTTACCCTGGGCTGTGTCTAGAGAAGTGTGGCCAGCAGGGTGAGGGAGGGGATTCTCCCCCTCTGCTCTGGTGAGACCCCACCTGGAGTGCTGCATCCAGCTGTGGAGCCCTCAACATCAGAAGGACATAGACTGGTTGGAGTGAGTCCAGGGGAGGCCACAAAGATGCTCCGAGGGCTGGAGCACCTCTGCTATGGGGACAGGCTGAGAGAGTTGGGCTTGTTCAGCCTGGAGAAGAGAAGGCTCCGGGGAGACCTTATAGCACCTTCCAGTACCTGGGGTAAACTTTTTGCAAGGGCCTGTAGTGACAGGACAAGGGGTAAGGGGTTTAAATTGAAAGTGGGGAGGGTTAGATTAGATATCAGGAAGAAATTCTTCCCCGAGAGGGTGGTGAGGCACTGGAACAGGTTGCCTAGAGAAGCTGTGGATGGCCCCATCCCTGGAATTGTTCAAGGCCAGGCTGGATGAGGCTTTGAGCAACCTGGTCTAGTGGAAGGTGTCCCTGCCCATGGCAGGGGGGTTGGAACTAGATGGTCCACAAGGTCCCTTCCAACCCAAACCATTCTATGGCTTTATGTAAAGGGAAACTTGTAAAACTTCACAGCTAACCTGTGTGGTCAGAGAGCAAAAGAAGATAACAGTGAATAGGAAATCTTTTGCAAGATTTATTTAAGGACGGGATTCTGCCCTTGACACATGTTCAAATATTAGCTGACTTGTTTCTTCCTTTAACAGAAAAAGAAATTAGGCAGAGCTAGTAGGATGGTACTTGATGCTGGAGAGGTTGCTTACAGATGTACTAATAAGGCTCTAGCACAAAAAGTGAAATCAAAAGAGCTGTAATATGTTGATCTGTGGGACATACTGTCAGTGTGTATGTCCCATATCCATATCCAAGCGTTTATTCTAGCTTTAATTTGGGGCATTATTTGGATTTATAAATGGTTCCAATTTGGAGATGGGGAAGAAGGAGGAGGGAAAAAATAACCTTCTTGTCTCCCCTCACTACACCTTACACCTCACTCCCATGTATTTCTAGAGAGTACATCTGTTGCTAGCAAGTTGCAGACTACACCAAAACACACAGATTAAGGAAATGCACGGGAGGCAAAAAGCAAGCTGCTAAGTGACCTAAGAAGCTTAGAGCACCAGGGTATAGAGAGCTGGAGGAGATTTTTTTCAGTGCATGTTAAATCCTTATCAACAAGGAAGAGCTCAGTGCAGATACAAAGGGAGGTGGGGATCACGCTCAAATATTCTCCCAGGATACTCCTAAGAGCAAAGAGTGAAAGATGCTGCCTTCAGCAGTACACTGGTATGAGCCCCCCAGCTCTGTAGTTACAGAAGGCAGGGCCTGGAAACGAGCTGTCTGTGAGAGGAGTAAGGGTGGGTGGCTTCAGTTTTGAGAGTAGATAATGAGGATAATGAAGTCCCCCCTAATTACACACCTCCCACAAACTGGGATTATCATGATGCTCCTTCCAACCTCTCATTACCATGTTGTATCCCAGGAGACTATTTGCTGTGTTTAACACCACAGGTTTAAGATTTGTGATGTCCTGACAAGACTTGGTTTAGTTTGCCTAGGAGTAACCATTTTTTTTAAGATGACATCTAAAATGTCTGCTTCTCAGACTGTAAAAATCCTGGAAGATTGGCATAAGGAAAGCTTTTAGCTCTTAAAGAAGGATGGAGAGAGCAAAAATAATCACTGGTTGCGAACTTCACAAATAATGAGACTTCAAAAATGATATTTTCATTGGTTTGGGGATAGGAAAAAAGTCATCTACATCCTGTTGCACCATGAACTTCTTAGAAAATGCTGCATTCTGAAATAAAATGAATTTTCAGTATCAAAGAACTGGAAAAATAAAGGGGTTTAGTGAAAAGCGACATGGCTGTTTAAACCTGGAGACAGCTATGACTTGGGGAAGGGGGGAAGCAAGAAAGCAGATGTGGAAAGAGTATGTGACCTGCAGTTATTGGCAGAGGACAAATAATATCCAATTCTTGTTGAATTCCTAGAGCTATATAAACTATGGTATAGACTAGGGCGAATAGTTTTAGGATGATAGAGAGTGGGGCCTAGAGTAAAAGTAATGTCAGGTCAAATTTTAGGCTTAAAAAGCATAGGAAAGTAATCCAGTGCTATGTGCTAGGAAACACATGTGCTGCTGAGGTCATTAAAGAAGACAAGACGGGACAAAGCCTGACTGTACTGTAGCTGCACAGTTGTCATTAGCCTATCAGCGAGGGTGGTGATACAGTATTGGGAAATCTTGAAAAAATGTTGTCTTCAGTGGTTTACCACAGATTGTCTAACAACTTGGCTGAGTATCTTGATAGGAGTGTAATGAGGAAAGGAGTGCCCACAAAGATAGGGGTTAGCTGGTAAAATCAGGATGGGAGAGGCTCTCTATAACATGCACATAATAGTATTTACTTGTTTAAGTAGTTGTATACTTTGCAAAATTAACCCTCTTAAATGTAGTCAGTGTTAGCTCAAAATAAACTAGTTTTATGAGACTTTGGAAATATGCAAGGCATACTGTACGGAACATGGTTACAGTTAGTGTTTTCCTTTTCTTTCAAGAATTGATATTCATCGTAAAGAGAATGCAGGTGCTGCTGAGAAACCAATTACCATCCACTCAACTCCTGAAGGCTGCTCAACGGCTTGTAAAATTATTATGGAGATCATGCAAAAGGAAGCTCAAGATACTAAATTGTGAGTAAAAGGCATTTCGTTGTGGAAGCATTAAAAAGTCTGAATTCTTGTTGACTCCATTTAAAGATGTAGTCTTTTAAAAACTGTTAACAAGTCAATCTTTGCCATTATCTGTATTGAAATATGTAAAGGAACTAAGATTTCACCCCACCCCTTTTGGGACAGTCTATTGCTTAATTAGCCCCACACACATCTACATTTTCAGCCATTGTCTGGTTGTGATATTTGAGGTGAACTGGAGCAAATACTGATGTTTCTTGAGCAACTAATAGCTTTTAATCAGAACGAGCATAACCAGTTGTGAGCTCTCACTAAAAGCTTTAAGGTGTATTTCTTCCTTCCCAACAGCTCTTGCTACTTCAGTCTGAGTTTTATTTAGCAGGTATGTTACCATGAAGCTATAGCTAATAGTGCTGAAATGTGCATTGTGCTTGGACTCGTTCTGCATCTAGTATAAACATGTGTAAGTGAATGGGAGTTGTAGAGAGTTCTACGAAAAGAAAATGTATCCAGAACATGCGTGAAGACTGGCACTCCGGACTCAAGTCTCACTGGGTGTAACCTCTGTTACAGTACAGAAGAAATTCCCTTGAAGATACTGGCACATAACAACTTTGTTGGCAGACTTATTGGCAAAGAAGGAAGAAACCTGAAGAAAATTGAACAAGACACAGATACTAAGATCACGATATCTCCGTAAGTTTTTGGTGGCCTAATCTTTTGGTGAGGTGTCTCAGATGGCAGCAACGCCGCTGCAGTACATTCAGGTACAGAGTTGTTATAAAAATACTGTGTGAGTTTCGAAGGCTGAGGTAACAGCCAGGCCTTTCCATAATGTGGATTAAACTGTTACTTGAGCTCAGTTAAATTTAACATAAACATTGAGTCTTCATTGTAAACTCAGTCAAGAGCAAGCCTAAATATAACATAGGCTATGTGGAGCCTGCGTTAGACTGTATTTTAAGCATCGGTTGTTTTTAACATATTATACCATATGTAATGATAAAAGTCTGAAACTATAAGCCTGGATCAGTTCTGAGCTGTGTGTGAAAATGAGTGAAACTAGTGGTAGTTTCTGTTACAGATAAAATTTTTAGACAAGAGGGAAGGAAATAAAGAAAATAAATATTGAAAAGAGTATTTGGATGTAAGGAAGAAGTTCTT